AGATCTTTGCACGAGGCTCTGGGTGCTCCAGGCGAACCTCTGGCTGATGGCTCTGCTCACAGGTAGGCACCAAACACGGGGTTTGAGTTTCAGAGCGAGGCGACTCGTTGGTAGGTGGCCCTGGGCGCAAAGAGGGACTTCACCCAACGAGGGATTTCACCCAGTGAGGGACTTCACCCAACTCTGGCTTTAGATGCGTGAGGTTTAAACTCTGCAGTGCCCAGCCCCAGCCCCATGGTGTGCAGGGAGCCAGCCCGGGGTGCAGCAGAGCCAGGAGGACCCGTGGGGCTCTGCACCTGCCCCGGGTTTTGGGTTGGTTCCAGGTCTGGTTTCGTGTCATGGTGTGGAGATGGGACACAGCCCATCTTTTTCTGGTGGTGGCCCAAGCCTGTAGTCCAGCAGGTCCTGAGCCGGCCTGGCTGTGGTTGCAGGTGGCAGGAAAGGAGGGGGTTGGTTGTTTTTTTTCACCATTTATTGCTCTGGGAGGCCTCAGGATGTGGTCGATACATCGGCGAGGCCACGGCCAAGCCACGTCCTTTTCCTCCGGGGGGTTCAGTGCCTGAGAGTGGAGGATACATAGCAGGGAAAAAAGGCATTTGAGGGTGATTTCTGAGCCCTGCATGAACTGTTCCCTTCTGCACCCCCATGGAGAAACAGCAGCTAAACCCAGGACACGGGTCCTGTCCCCTTTTGACCCCTCTTATTAGGTGCAGGGACGCCCACAAACACCTTCCACAGATCCCACCCTCAGCTGGGGAAACTTGTGCCCTTAGGAGAAAGGGCATTTAAAGGGTTTCTGTTGGGTGGGTGGCCACCCACATCCAGTACAGATTTGATGTCACAGAGTGACTACAAAGAGGCTGTGGAACAGTGTGCCCAGGTGGCCAAAAAGGTCACCAGCATCCTGGCCTGTGTCAGCACTGCTGCGTCCCTCTGTACTCAGCTTGTACTCATGTGAAGTCACCTCTGTTCTGGTGAAGTGACATCTCGAATCCGGGGTTCTGTTTGGGCCCCTCCTTCCCAGAAGAACCTTGAGGGGCTGGAGTGTGGCCAGAGAAGGGCAACGGAGCTGCTGGGGAAGGGTCTAGAGCCCAAGTGTGGGGAGGAGCAGCTGAGGGAGCTGGGGGTGCTGAGCCTGGAGCAAAGGAGGCTCAGGGGAGACCTTCTGGCTCTGCACAGCTCCTGACAGGAGCCTGGAGCCAGGGGGGGGTCGGGCTCTGCTCCCAAGGGTCAGGACAAGAGGAAACTGCCTCAAGTTGCCCCAGGGGAGGTTGAGGTTGTCCCTGAGGAACAATTTCTTGCCCTGGAGGGTTGCCCAGGGCTGTGCCAGGCTGCCCAGGGCAGTGGTGGAGTCCCCACCCCTGGAGGGGTTTCCAAGCCGTGGAGATATGGAGTGAGGGGACACGGGGCAGTGAGGACCTGGCAGAGCTGGGTTAATGGTTGGACTTGATGATCTTTGAGGTCTTTTC